TCTGGGATGGTCTGGTTCTGGTACAGGATGTAGGCAGACATGTCGTACAAATCCTGGTGCTTGCAGGCAGAGCTTCCATAAGGATTACAGGGTCCCAAACATTTGCTCCATCCATGTACACTCCCGAAAACTAACAAGGACCTGAGAATGGCATCATTAAAGACCGTTTCAACGGGGTATATCCCATTCCCTGTGCCCCTGCATGGTGATGAGTTATATAGTAAAGTCCGTTCTGAAAACAGTAATGATAGGTAATGGGACAGGACCCTAAGTATCCCAGACACTCTATCTGACATAAAGTGAAATATCTGATACCTACATGAGTCACATTAGGGTGCTTTCGGGGGGTCAATGTATGTGTCAATGCGTGCCGTACTGTTGATCAATGAACCTCAAACGTAGAAGATTGTAGAACCATCCCGGCTGGAAGCCAAGCTACAAATGGACAACAAGAACAACTAAGGTCCTCAGTAAGGTCTTGCAAAAAATGCCATGTGAATAACGTGTGAGGTGTGTCTAGCTTTTCAATGCTTTTCATTAGGACCAAAGCCAAGAACTTAGGAAACACCATCGGAACTATAAAACAAAGATACCCAAACACTCCGTGTATGGTATATATGCCTACATTGACCCCTGAAACCAGCCCTCAATGTATGTAAATATGCCATACATAGAGTGTTTGGGATATACATTCAAACAGCCATCTTGTCGGTTGGTTCACATGTTTCAACATGTTTCAACCCCCCTCAGGCGCTTCATGGAGTGCGGTAATGGTTCATGGCTTCACGCGCCCCGCCACGCGAAGCGCATCCGAATCCGCATCCTGCTGCTTCATGGTACGCATCTTGGGCCAAATGTCGCCACCCTTGATGGATGGGTGAACCTCTGAGATGTCCTGGCTAGGGCGAAACTAAGAGGCAAGGTGTGAAATACAACTCGAGGTCCCCACTAGAAATGTATTGGAAAACGTGCCACTATCTATTTGGGGACCATAGTTTGGTATGTTTGGTAAAGGTGCTGGCAGGGCACTCGTGGCACTCAATTGAACGTTTCCTATAGTCGTCTCCGCTACGCCCTGGAGGCGAGTTCTGGCCGTACATCTTTTTGCCCCCCACTGCACTCCGTGGGACCCATTTTGAGGAACTGGACTGGTGCGCTTTTGAGGAGAAATTAACAGGTCCAACATCATCGGATTTAGTGCTCAACCTGACCGCTTTTGCAGTGCTCAACCTGCCCCTTTCCACACCACGGAAACACAAAATTGCAACTCTACCCCGGTCAGGCCTTAAGTCCATCGTAGGTGGTTGGGTTGTTCAGGTAGTCAACCAGGCCCTCGATAGTGGCACGGTTTGGGGTGGCACCGCTAAGCTCCTCAATGGCAAGGCCAACGTTCTGGTTGGTGCGGGTACCGCCGCCGACGTGGCAGGAGGCGCAGGAGGCGATGAACAATCGCTTGCCTCGAACGACCTGCTCCTTGGTCAAGGTGGTGGTCTTGCCCTTGTCGTCGACCTGCACATGCCATTCAATAGCCTTTACTTCAATTGGGGGATTGGTATTTATAGACTTTAATGCTCACTCAATGGGTTCCATTCCCGTCAGTCATTCACACATACGCTATACATAGATTAAAATACCTACAACTTTTTGAGCTGGGGCACTGGGATCACCACATCCTCCACGTCAG